TATTCGACCAAGCCGCTCCCGCATGTCTCTCAGGTCGTTGCTCAGTGCAAGAATGGCCATGCACTCACTTGCAACAGAAATATCGAAAGCTGTCCGTCTGGTAAGGCCTTTCTCAAGGGGACCTTGGCCGATCGTGACGCCTCTCAGGAGCCTGTCGTTGACATCAACGACTCTCCTCCAGGTGATTGTTTCTGGATCGATGTCTAGCCGTGCAAACCGCCGAATCTCCTCGTCAGTCAGGTCATCAGGGTTCATTTTGTCGATTCCCAGCTTCTTGAGTCTTCGGAGCATGACCGGAGCAAACTCGCGCTTCCCATTCTTACTGGGCACCAATCTTTTGTACAACGCGCGATCTTTTTGCGTAGCTTCGTGAAACATGCGTGTATCAATAGCAGCAGCTAGAAGGTTGTTCGCAGCTGAAATTGCGTGGATGTCACCCGTCAGATGAAGGTTGAACTCATCCATGGGAATGACTTGACTGTAGCCACCGCCTGCTGCACCACCTTTGATGCCGAAGGTCGGCCCCATACTTGGTTGTCGAACATTAGCAAATACCACTTTTCCTAAGTGACCCCCCAATGCCTGTGTAAGGCCCATTGTTGTGGTAGATTTCCCTTCTCCCAGTGGAGTTGGAGTGATACCACTGATCATGACATATTTTCCGTCACGACGATGCGCCAGCCTTGAGAGAATCGACAGGTCAACTTTGGCTTTGTGAGCACCGTAGGGTTCCAACTCATGAGGTGCAATGCCAATATCGGCAGCAATTTGTGTGATATGCCTTGGATGCTGCGATCTGGAAACCTCAATATCGGACGGTACCGGCTTTTGAAGTTTTATTGGCATCGGAGTGACGTGCCTTGCTTTGAGTCTCTCAAAGTAAGCTGATGCGGAATCGACGACATTTTGCATGAGCATCGCAACTGTCATAGGGCCAACACCACCAGGGACTGGCGTGATTTGAGAAGCAACCTCAACAGCTGTCTCGAAGTCAACATCGCCAACGAGCCGATGTCCCGAGGTCTTTGAGGCATCAGATATGTAATTTGTGCCAACATCAATAACCACAGCTCCTGGCTTCAACCAATCGCCCTTAACAAAGCCGGGCTGGCCGATAGCGGCAACCAAAATATCGGCTTGTTTGACAACATCTTTGATGTGTTGGGTTTTGGAGTGGCAGACAGTCACCGTGGCGTCGGCATTCTTCAAGAGATAGCTGACCGGACTGCCTACGATGTCGCTGCGACCGAGGACAACAGCAGTCTTGCCCCTGGGCTCAACACCACTCTCTTGCAACAACACCATGACTCCCTTCGGGGTGCAGGGGACGAAGAAAGGTTCGCCGCCTCTCTTTGCGAGCTCTCCAATATTTCTAGCCCCAAACCCGTCCACATCCTTCTCATCCACAACAGCGGAAGTGATTGTATGCTCGGAAAGGTGTTTGGGGAGGGGCAGTTGGACGAGAATGCCATGAACAGAAGGATCATTGTTGAAGCCAATGATCAGCTGTACTAGTTCAGGCTCTGAAATTGTGTCAGGGAGATGGATCAGAGCACAATCAATGCCCGCTTCTTCAGCTGCCTTCAGCTTCATTCGCACGTAAGTGGTCGAATCTGGTCGATCACCGACTTGGATGATTTTCAAGCACGGCATATATCGTGGGTTGACCCTCTGTCTCTCTCGGATCTCCGCCGCTAGCCGTTCTCTTATCTTCTGGGCAATTGCCTTCCCATCGATCTTTGTAGCTCCCATCTTCTTTGACGCTATGCTTGAGAAAGCTCGGAAGTGGGGCGACGGTGAGGCCTGGAAAAGTTCGGCTCGTGCGACTTGGCTAGTGGACGATATGGGCAGCCGGGGTCCAACTATTGCAGAGACTATCCTGGGGCGGGCAGCTGGCAGTCCGGAAGGTCTGTCCCCTCTGCAGATCAAGCTGGCTTCAGAGGCAGCCCTAATAGCAGTCAGGCTTATGGGAGACGAAAGTTGAGAGGGTAAAGTCGGAAGGCGGAGAGGACTATTGGAGAAAATTGAGAAACGGATAGTGGTGCGAGCTGCAAATATATAATCTGGACGCGTCGCACTAGATAATCTGCTGGCCATGTCAGAGCCCAAAGCTCCGTAGAAAACTCGTCTCAGGTGACCACCGAGGCAGTTATCCCTGGTCTTCGAGTATTTTCATCATTGAGAGAGCCGGTTAAAGGTTGAGACGATGTTTTCGAACAGCCTGTACGAAGGATTTTTGGATGGTCATGACTCGTGGGGGGCGATTGACATGACTCAGGAAAATCTCGAGCTTGGCACCGATTTCTCACACAGCCGCGTCTTGCCCTTTCATGACTCTTCGACTTCCAACGCTCGGATTTCACACTCGGTCTGTCTTCTTTCTTTGAAATTTTCAGGATTGCCGACGCCTGCTACTCTCGAGTAATCTCTTAGATAGACCTTTGCGTCAAAATATGAGGCCGATACTTTTGCAGGGCCATGTGAGTAGTCCAGGGGGGAAATTTACCTCAGACCAAAACTGACGCATGTGCTAAGGAGCGATCGCTCAACCAAATCAAATACAACAGAGATGGCGACCTCCTTTTCTCGGTAGCGAAAGACAAAGTCATCTGCGCGTGGTACACCAGCAACGGAGAAAGACTAGGAACATACAATGGCCACCAGGGTGCGATCTGGACTGTCGATGTGTCACCGAACACCGAGCTCCTCGCCTCCGGGGCGGCAGACAACACGATCAAGTTGTGGAATACTCGAACAGGGGAGAATGTGAAGACATGGGAATTTCCGACCGCGGTCAAACGGGTCGCGTTCAGTGAGGATGGAAAGCAACTGCTCGCAGTCACGGAAAAACGAATGGGATACTTGGGGACTATTGTGGTCTACGACATCCGATACGGTGATGACCTTACAGACCAGACCGACGAACACAGCTTGAGGATTACATGTGAGGAAAGCAAGCCCACAGTCGCGGGATGGAGTTACCTGGACAAGTACATCATCTCCGGCCATGAAGACGGGTCTATCAGTCAGTGGGATGCAAAGACTGGGGAGCTTTTATTGACCCAAGAGGCCCATGAGTATGACACCACCATCAACGATCTGCAATTTTCTCCCGACCGGACCTACTTCATCACAGCTGGAAAAGACAAGACAGCTAAGATCTTATCTTCACGAGACTTGAGCGTTCTCAAATCATATACTGCCGACACACCGTTAAATACGGCTGCTATTACCCCAAAGAAGGACTTTGTCATCCTTGGAGGCGGCCAAGCGGCTATGGAAGTCACCACAACATCTGCTCGCCAAGGCAAATTTGAAGCTCGCTTCTACCACAAGATCTTCGAGGATGAAATTGGTCGCGTTAGAGGTCACTTCGGCCCCCTAAACACCATCGCCGTCCACCCACAAGGCATTGCATACTCCAGTGGCGGCGAGGATGGCTACGTCAGAATGCATGCTTTCGACAAGCCTTATTTCGATTTCATGTATGAGGTGGAAAGAGAACAAGCACGGAAGTGAGTCGAACTGCGTTTCATCTTTCGATATGATACCCTACAATGATGGAGTGTATGATCTATGACGAATGGGATTTACAAGAGCCTTCATCAGCCGACTCCATGCCAAGGGGTGGCGCTTTTTTGTTCCTCAAAGTGATCTGCTACCAAGGCGGCCACATGTCAATCACCAAGTCTTGAGCTCTACCATTTGTTGAGCTGTTGGAAATGCCCCTGTCGAAGCCGAGGCGGTGGTCCTACCAGGCTAGCTTCGACGAGCCAGGATCGGAACACAGCATTAGTCAGGGATCTGCACAATCGGCCTTTCTTCCAAGACACTCAGCCAGAACAGGGATTCTGGCGGCTGAACCACGACCCTTCCAAAACACTCGATCAGAATGAATGGTTAGAACCGAGGTGATCACCTTTGCGGGCCTCCAAAGGAGAAAAAACGCGCCACCATAATCCGGCTTTGTGTTGCCTCAACTAAGTGCAAACGAGTCTTGGCAATAATTGGCATGATTGTCCTCTGCCAGTAATAAGCCTTAGCTACAATCTCTCGACAGAAGGTTGGATGTGAGGGCGTTTTAGGCATGGAACGCAACATCTTTCGCTCGTATGTGTTTCCAAAATTTCCGTGCCGCTAGGTGGTCGCTCTCTCGCCGCGTTAGGATCATCTCTCTTAAATCGAGCTGCACAATCATTGTGCCATCGAGCTGAATTAGACAATATGATAATGACTCGAGTTCTGTTCTGTCTGGTAGACCTCCATATGCTCTAACAATCTCGCTTGCCGTACCCTTAGACCATATGTACTCCGATTATACGTCACAGTGAGCAGCAGTCTCAGAAACATCGGGAAATCCTATCTTTCTCTCTGTCGGCAATATGTTAGGCATATTCCTGAAATATTTGCACATTCTCACGCAATGCTGTGTACTGCAAACATCCCTAATACGAGGCAGCGAACCACTGCCACGTGATGAGGCTGAATATTTTGTCAGACGAAAAAACGCCCGATTCAGTTTTGCACCGAGAACACCTTGACACTGGGCGATGGAGGAGCACTAATTGTTCCTCAGCTCGCCCTATGTCTATTCCACTTGTCTAGGCATACGATACTAAGCCTTGGAAGGACATCAGAAGCAATTCCACAAGGCTTGCTCGTCATCTCCGAATAAGCGAGCTATGGATTCCCCTTTCTGCCGCACCATTGCTAGACATTCACCCTTCATTGCCTTGATATCCGGGACTCCCTCTATTTGTCGCTCTGTGCCATCCGTGAAGCCTTAATCGAGATCAAACAGTAAGTCTATTCAAGTGCTCTTTTCTAAGGTTGGTTTTGGAAACAATCTCCATCTGTTCGCAATGGCTCTGTCTAAACCCTCCATCACCGAACTCATGCAAATGGTAAAAGCAAGCATCAAACGGTACCACGCAGAACAAGCTGCACCGGTCGCCACCGGCGTCGTTCCTCCTAGAATATCGCCATCGCTGCTCGTCACAATGGCCAACATATCAGAAGACATCGAGTACAGCTCCCGCACGGTTGACCAGGATGTCGACACGGTCGCCATCTGTCCGCTCCACCCGGAGTATATGATCATCGGTACATATTCACTCCTAAAGAAAGACGAACCATGCGACTACAATGGGCAGACACGCCGCGGCTCTCTCCAAGTTACGACTGTCATGTCGACATTCAAGCCCAGATACGCTGGCATGCTGCCTCCGTCATTGGACAGAGTGGATTTCCCTTGCGCAGTGTTGGATACCCATTTCCACCCCTCCGACAGCACACTTCTAGGCGTCGCGACCAGCAATGCCACAGTGCATTTCTTCCGGTTCACTATGCACGGCGACGTGCTCGGTCGGCGGGTGATTACGAAACTCCTCCCCCTGGGAACTGTCAGGGTGGCCGAGAATGATGAACATGGTCTTGTACCATTGGTCACACAATTCACTTGGTTTCCTGAAACGCGTACGCACGGGGTGGCTGGAATAAGTGATGTAGTTGATGTGGGTTTCGCGGCGACCACGAGTTTCGGGGATGCGAGGGTGGTAAGGATTTCGGTGCCAGCAGTCAAGGACCTCTTTGACGAGAGGGCGGATCAACCTCCTCAGGCGCTGGTGCCCATCTCGAACGATATTGTCCACAAACATGAATTGGAGGCTTGGACCGTTGCAGTTCTCGATCTTGGCTCGTCATCGTGGGATGGAAACAGGTGTACATCCCGAGTGATTCTCAGTGGCGGCGATGACAGTGCCTTGATTGCCTCCTCGGCTTCCCCATCCACTATTACCACCCACCCGTCGGCACCGAATTCAACATCACTATCCCCCTGCGACACACTATCCCTCAACGCTATGCCCCTATGGAAGGACCGCCGCAGCCATACCGCCGGAGTGGTATCAATTCTCCCTCTCCCCCCCGCCACCGTTCGGAGTGGCAATGGGGGTGAGAACAGAAGAGATATCATTCCACTAGCCACAGGGAGCTACGACGAGTACATACGCTTGTTCGAGATTGACACCCAGACATATCGTGCAAGCTTCAAGGCGGAACTGAGGGTTGATGGTGGAGTGTGGCGGCTGAAGGTTTTGGATCAGTACTCGACCAGAAGGGAGGGCCAGGCTCAGCTCCAGCATCACACCCTCGTCCTCGCATCACTGATGCATGCCGGCGCCGCAATTATTCGCATCACACGAACCACTGTCACGTCCAGCTCGTCCCAAGGAGACACATGGACAATCACGCCCGTTACGATCTTCCGTGCGGGTCATGAGAGTATGGTGTACTGCTGCGACGCTCGACTCGAAAACGGCAACACCAATGGCAGCAGCCAAGATCAGACGCAGAAGGGTAGGGAACAAGCGGGAGAGGGCAGCCGAGCAAGGGCAGCGCCAGCTTACACCATTGTCAGCACCAGCTTTTATGATATGAAGATATGCACGTGGAAGTTTGTGGATCATCTGAAAGCGCAGAGTCGGTGATGAGTGAGCCAAGCTTGTCGACAACAGCCAAATTGGTTCTAAATATTTTGATGCCTCCAGATTGAATTTTCAACCAGGACAGAGCACGCGCTGGCGGAGGGATGCCGGGGAAAGTGAAAGTACGAGCGTACGAGGTCAAGCTGCATAAAGCAAGGTTAGGAGCCCATACAGTAGAGACATGATTCTCCAACCTTAGTGCCCATGGGTTTTTGTCCGCAAGATCGTTTCACTTGTGCCACCGTCCTGTGCAAGGCTATGCCCTTGAGTACGAGTACAATATCCATCTTGCTCGATCTGCCCCTCCTCACGCTCGCAGACAGAATTCAAACGATGCTCTCCAGTTCCCTCGCATACTCCACCATGTGACTAATCACCTCCTTCTCGTCCCCTTCCTCTGTCTTCTTGGACGCCTCCAATCCGGGGAAATATATCCTCCCTTCTTCCAAACTCCACCCTTGCTCGCGTGCAAATTCCATTACTGCGCCTTCAGAGTCTAGGAAGAGAAGGTTCTTGGCCGAGGCGATAGGAAGAGAAGGGTAGGAGCGGGCGGCGCAGGAGGCTATTTCGATACGGATGGTGTTGATTAGGATCTAGTGTCAACGTCAATACTCATGAAGTAATGCAGAAAAATGGACAACCACGTACATCGGAGAACAACCCAAACTCTTCACCAGGGACGTCTCGCCCATTTGTCTTCCGCCAGACCTGGTCGTAGCTGCCTTCCATGAGACTTCTCTCCAACTCCATAGGGTATTTGATATACGGATCGGCTTCCACGCTCGGGGACCCATTCGCCCCCTCCGCCGCAATCAGAGACTCCAAGAGGGTGTGGAAACCAGCGTAATCGCCCTGGCTGAGTAATAGAAGCAGATACAGTCCCGTGAGTTTTGAGCGTTCTCTCGAAGGTGTCTGTTGTAGGCCGGGGAAATCATAGAAGGGTTGTAGCTGAGAGTAATATCTCACGAAAGATTCGGGGTCTCTTGATCGGATGGAGAGAAGAGCGCCAGCTTCCAATATTGAACGAGCGGTTGCTAGTGTCTGCGCAGGAGTTTGGGGAGAGGGTATTAAGGCATTTTGTTGTAGGAGGGCGAGCTTCGCCTGTTGTAACTGTGACTGCGCTTGAAACGGGTCGTGACTGCTTAGAGACTGTCGGAGGGTATGCAGAATCGAGTCAAGGGAGGGTGATTGTGAGGACATGGCTGCAGGCATCCTTGCTCTGCTTTCAGCGGCGCGAATGGCCTTTCGTCGAGTACCGGAAGAGTGTAGTTGCGAGCTGATGTCTGAGGAAATTTGAGTGCGAAAGTTGGATGGATTTGAGCAAGGGGATGGTCATGTAAAGAAGGCTGCGCAGTCGATTTTTCTCCTCTGAATGTCTATTGCGCGGTGGAATTGATTCAAGACAGTGAGGGCGTACGAATCGAAAGTCCAGCCTGTTGTCCAGATCCCGCTGATTTTAGTTCCAACTTCGCCTAACCATATTAGGTAAGAAACAGCCTTCCGTGATGTTCAGAGCAGTGTACGGAGTACTTGTACGTATTTCTCCATACCTATATGAGGTGAGATTCGCCTCATAAGTCTATGCTATGCACATAATATTCCCCTACACTCCACTACACATCTCTTCCGGCACTGGATACCATCCGAATACTCGATCTATTCCAATACAGCTCAGAGCATTCAGACAACAGCCAATAGCTGCTGAGACAGTTGAAGTCGTGCCAAACAAATGAACAGCCCACCAGCAACTAATGCTGTTCCTGCATACATTGAAAGAGCAAGGTAGCTATACTTGATTAGCTCGCCACTGATAGGAGAACCGAAGAGGCCGCTCATGATGAAAGATGTCAGCAATTGAAAGTCCTGGAGAGAGGTAGAAAGAATCCTAACTCACGTCATGGAGACTATTCCCATTATCATGCCAACTGCAGTACCGTATGATTCTGGTGTTGCCAGCTTCGTGCCGCACGCCACCTGGAGACTCAAGATTGACTGGAAGAGCGGAGTTTTCAGTCACAATTCGTGGCTTAACGACAAGGGGACAACTCACACCCGAGCAAAACCCATAAGCCAAGCTCCACACCACCAGACCCGCTGATGTTTGGGCGGCCGTCCAACAATATGCAACCGCCGCAGAGGTCATCGCGGCTAGTGAGCACATATTGAAATGACCGTATTGATCAGCAGCCCAGCCAGCGCCAATTCTCCCAAAAAGGGAGGCAGCGTTGAGAATAGAGACGAGATAGAATGCGAAGCTGGTGGAGAGACCAACGCTGACGGCGTATGAGGTTACAAAGAAGAAAGGGGAGAACATTCCCAGGTAATAGAGCCCTATCCCCCCGCAAAAGGTAAGGAAAACCCGGTTCTTGAGGATCGACAGGTCTGTCTTCTTTGTATTGTCTTTCCGGGCTGATGGGGGAGTCGCCCCACCACTGGGCTTCTGTGTCGCTGGGGGGAGGACAGTGACACAAGTTACGGCCACAAGCGGAACCATTGTAAAGGCAACAATACGCACTGTCCAGCCAAAACTAATGTCGTTCTTGTTAAGAAGTTGATCCACCATTATAGGCCATATGACGCCACCCAGAGAGGAACCTGCGATCGTAAAGCCGGTCGCCAAGCCACGATTCTTGTGAAAGTGACGGCTAACCATGGCAAGAACAGGGCAAGCGAGAAGTGCTTGCCCTATGCCTAGAAGAAGCCCTTGGGTCAGGAAAAACTGATAATATTCATGACACAGAGAGATCATGAACATGGAAAAGATAGTTATTGTGCCTCCTGTTATGAGGAGAATCTAGACAGTAGGTTAACTGGACTGACTGGTATCGTGCATAGGTACATAGCCTGTGCTTACTGTAGGGCCCATCCGATCAGTCAAAAGGCCTGCCGGCGCTGCAGTGAGGAAGAAAATAAACGTGGAGAAAGAGCCAATCCAGGAAATGTCAAATTCGGACTTGTCGGCCAATTCATGTCTCCGGTAGCAGTCGATGAAGACGCCAAACGCATTGAGGAAGCCAACTGTGCAGAAGGTTGACAAAGCGGAGCCGACGAGGGCGAGAATCGATCTTGTGCTGTGGGAGTGGTGTCAGCCCCCGGCGGAAGACCATGGAAGAGTACTGACTTGAATTCACCAGTGTCATTCCGGCTCAGACTACCCCCTGCCACTACTGCCTTCTCTGAATCTGAAGGCAACGCAGGTTTTGCCTCTTCCATCATTTTGAAAAGTCATGAGGACGAATTACTGTTAGAGGATCCATGTCGGCGCGGGAACGAGAGCAGGACCTTTTATCAACGTTCTGAAGCTTGAGCGAAACGGAGAGTCCATGGGCTCGAGTAGCCAATGCATGTTGACAACCGGTTGAAACAATGGGACGTGGGACTGTGCTAAATTGTCAAGCTTGAGTTAATTTGCCGCAGTCTGTGTTTGAAGCTGAATGAGCACGCTTGTGACAAAAGAACTGATGTACTCGGTGGAGCTCGGAGCTTCCATGGAATTTCCTAGCTTCCAAGGCTTCATGCTCTCTTTACAGCCGATTGGTCCCTTTAACCGGTGCGGGTCCAAATAGAGCCGTCTGACGAATAGTAATAATAGGACGTGAGGGCGCAACGACCGCTTAGGGCCTCCTATTTCGGCAAGGCTAGCTATCCCCGATGCTCATATGGGGATTCCTCCTGGACTGCAGCTGCACTTTGCCAACGTAAAGTATTCGTTCATTGCTCCTGGACTCTCCGCGGCATAAAGGGTAGTTATTTGTCTTTGCGGTGTCGACATCCTGAGTCTGGAAGTCAGTCAGGCCCAAGAATGATGTCTTCCGGCAGGGGTCGAGCAGATGCGCCTCCAAATCCCTTGAAGAGACCCCGCCAGGATCCTGTATCTTGTCAATTCTGCAGGTCGAAGAAACTGAAGTGTAACAGACAGCAGCCATGTTCGAATTGTGCGTCAAGAGGCCTGGCCTGCGATGGTAAATTTATGCCCTATGGCCGGCGTCCGTCTGTGTTTGTCGAAGATCCGAGCGACCAATCTGTTCTCGCGCGATTGAAACGACTCGAAGACATCGTCATTGGGAGGTCGTTAGCCCCAGATACGACGATAACTGGCTCTGGGACATCTCCACATCTACCTCTGCCCAGGGGTATTCCCTCTCCGAGCCTTGCCTGTCTCTCACCGGCATCGGAATACGAGCAGGCCGTTCACAGCCTGGAGGAGACTGGCACCCACGAAGCACCATTGGTATTTCCACGAGGCTGTGACATCCGCATAATGTCCATGCGCCAAATCTCCCTCGATTCTGATAAGCCGACCCATTTCCAGCAGGCCTCGAAGCGCCTGTGTCTTCCGCTGAAGGAGGAAGCGTCACTGTTACTAGACCACTATTTCAGACACATTGACGACCTCCAACATGTCGTTCACGTTCCCACTGTCCGGATGACGATGCAGAATCTGTATTCTAGCCTAGAGCAAGGCCTCCTCGTCATCCCTTCCGAAGTCGCGCTCTTGCTCAGCATCCTCGCAAGTGCTTCAGCCCTTTGTGTTTATTTTTTGGGAGACAGCCGACCGTCGTTCTCGACGTCTGAAGCTGCCCAAGCGTCCTCGTTCTGGACAAATGCCGCGCTGGAAGTAATAGAGTCCTCTCGCCGCACGATCGCCAGACAATTGGAGGATGTCCAGGCCGCCGTCATCCTGGGGTTTCTACTGTTCCACAGTGAAGGATTCTCGACCAGAGCCCGTTGTTTGTTCGCCAGTACTGTGGCAATGGCGCGTGATCTTTCGCTGCACAGGATCGACACGCCAGGCAATGTTGCTAATCAACAGACTGGCTTGGAGACTGAGATAAAGCGTAGGGTATGGTGGCACGTCGCGGCAACAGATTGGTATGTCCTTGCTTCCAGAACAAGGCCCACAGCTACTCATCGGCTTGCAGGTTGTTGAGTCTCAGTGGAGGTCCACAGGAAGGAACTTATTTTGTCCAACCACGACATATGCGTGTGAATAGGCCACGCAACGTCGATGACGACGACCTTCATCAGGACACCCCTCCTATTGACAAACCCCTATCCGAACCCACCAGCATGTCATACTACATCCAGAGAATTAAACTCGCTGACATCTGCCGCAGTGTCGTCGACGTGATGCCGCTGTCGAGCCTGGAGCTGGGGACCGTCAACTACCAAGATGTGGTTACACTTGACAGGAAATTCGAAGCCTTCTTCCAAGAGCTACCTTCGTTCTTCAAAGTCGACGAATACCATCTGCGCGAAAGCGAACCAGTCATGCGTCGTTATCCGCAGATGCAAGTCCAGCGTTATGCATTGGGAATGATTGGACACACGAGACGCTGTAAACTCCATCAACCCTTTCTCATCCGCCGCTCTGTGGAACGCCATTATGACTACTCCCGCGAGATATCGCTGAAGTCGGCTCGATCAGTCATCCGGATGAAGGGACTCCTTCAGCTAGATGAGCCAGGAAATTTTATGGCAGTTATCGCAAGGCATACCGGTGTAGTCTATCACATTTTCATGGCGACCATTGTGCTGGTGATGGATCTGTGTTTCAACGAGGCTGCCGCAGGGGAAGACGACGCAGCACGCAAAGCCGAGGTCGCGGAAGCTTGCAAGACGCTGGAAGATGCGAAGTCGCAGTCACGGATGGCGCATGAGTTTCTCGAGTCTCTTATGGATGTGCTCAGAAAGCACAAGGTTCGCTTGCATGGAATTAACGGTCCTTTAGCTGGGGATGCGGCCGAGCAGCAAGCTCAGCAGTCTCTTCAGCCTCAAATCCTTGCAGACCCTGGAGGACAACAAGCACCGCGGCCTTGTGATAACTGGACTCCCGAAGAAGACGGTCAGCACCATCTGTCAGATTTTGACGAGATATGGAAGGACTATGTCGAGTTGGGGCCGAAGATGGGGATGCCAGGCTGGGATAGCCTCTTTTCCGACCTCGATTCAAGAATGTGAGGATGCATTAAGCAGCCAGGGCGAAGACTTGCTGCAGGACTTGCTTTCTGCTCGGCGAAAGCTCTCCACTTCAGAAGAATTTGCCTCTGTTAGAAATGTTGTATGTCTTTGTGACAGCTGATGGATGTTTATTTCCTCACCCTCCTAGCATGCCTTACTAAATTCTCAATGACACCCTCAAACGCTTCCTTCTCCTTAACCAATCCATCCCTTCTTTTCAACCAGTACTCCAGAACTTCACTTGTTCTTGCTGTTAATTCATTTAATTCCTTCACATGCCTCTGCAATTCTTCGTCAGTCAAGCCTTCAAGCTTTTCCTCGGTAGTAGCGCAGAGTCGTTTCACAGCTGCTAGGTCTAACTCCGGTGGCGGAGGGGGCCCTTTCGGTTTCCTTGAGCGGGGTACTCTTTGGCCTTCTTTGACGCCGCCTGATTGTGTGCTGTCGATCGAGGCAGATGAGTCGTTTGCACCGCTTTGTGCCTTGAGACGTGCAAGAGAACCTAATGTCTTATCGGCTTCCGATTTGCGTGCTGAGGGTTCTAGATTGATGTCCGGCAGAACAAGTTTCTTCTGCTTACTTGGCGGTAGAATTTCGTCGAGGTCGACCGGTACACCAAGGCTAACCAGGAATAACCGCCTGATTCGCGATTGCGTCCAATTCGGCGGTTGGAGCGGAGGTGGTGTGATGAGTTGCTTCCAGAGGGAGCGTGAGCGGTCAGAGGGGAAGATGGGTGAGAAATCTGATATCGTTTCTTGTGGTGGAAATCGAGAGGAGTAGTCGGCTGTGGAAGCCGGGAACATGACGTCTAGGTGCATTTGTGCGGCAGCAAGGAAATCTGGTACCGATGAAAGGGCACCGAAGTCGATCAGGGGCTGCGGTTGGATAGTTGGATCAGCACACTATAGGGCATCAACGAAGATGGGAAACTCACGAATGCGTCGGCTGGTACAGAACTTGATTGAGAAATAGATACAGGAGGTGGTGACTCGACAGCCTCAGGTTCTTCAAAGCCATCGTCAAAGTCCCCGAAGTCATCATCAGCCCCAGCTTTTGCGCCTTCTTCAAATTCATCGAACTCATCTCCGAAGTCGTTATCATTACGGTCGTTGCCATCATCATTGTCATGTAGAGCGGATCTCCGTCTTGTGGAATTCATAGATCTGTCGAGAATTGGTGACCCTGAATCAGGTCAATGGTCCTCCTGAAAGTTGGTCTGTACGCTGGATTTACCTGCTCCACTGCCCTGATTCTCGATGATATCCGGTGCAGCATCGAGAGTTCGCTTCTTACGGGCTTCTGTGCCTGGGATCTCGCCATGGGCGGGAATACTGTCGACCCGAGTAATGACGGTTTCTGGCACTGGAATATCTGAGGAAGAAGAAGATTTTTGTCCATCTCCCGCCCCATCATCAGTGTAGTGCCTCCTTCCAGGCTCTGGATTCTTCAGAATGACGTCGGGGACAGCATCCATTTGCCTCTGTAGATAGGCCGAAGTCTTTGGAATTTCACCATAGCTCGGGGATTCGGGGTCGAGCTTCTCGACCACAGTACGTGGTATAAGAGTGCCTCCTGGGGTCGTGGGTGGTTCGAGAAGCTGAGAGGAGCGTTTACTGAGGCGGCCTTCTGGGACAATCTCGACCTCGTCAGGCACAGCATCCAACATTCGCTTCTCGTATGCAGGCGTGCCCGGGACCTCGCCATATCGTGGCTCATCATCGACCTTTTCAATGCGTGTCTTGGGAATGGGAGAAACGGGAGTGACTGGTCTGGAGGGTCTTTTTTGACCCTCTGAGGCATCTGAGAAGTGTTCATCTTCGCCTTCTGACGATACTATGGCAGTCATTAGTTCCCCTAATGGCTTTGATCGGATCTCAAGGTAGTCTTACATTCATGAGCACCGGGATCCTCCAGTTCGACGCTTTTCCTGGGGGGTTCAAGATGCAGGCTGTCTCTCGATGAAGATGGTCTCGTCATCTTTACGGCTGAATGGGTATCTGCCTGTCTCCCAATACAACAGAAGAATCGACAGAGCAGAAGCCTGGGTGAGGAGACGGAGAGGGCGCGAGGGTGAAGGTAGAAAGGAAGTGGCCTGCAGTTGGTTCAAGGCGCAGCGCAGGCCAGCATTGGCGTCTGTTTCCTTTTTGGGCACCAACTCCGCAACCACTGCGTCGACACATCTGCATTTGCACCCATCTGCACCATCTGCATCAACTTATTTGCTCCGTGCCTGAGCCTGAGCGCGTCTTGATCAACATCGTCACAACCACCACGGTGCCACCACCTTACACCCCTTACCAACACCATCCTTTTTGCTCAAACGGCAAACACTGATCTGCTCTTGTCCCTGTCCTGCGTCCCCTGTACCCTGTCTTCTTCGGCCTCCTGCGATGCCCTCTCTCTAGATTTCTAACGCCTCACCTGCTGCAAATCGCGAAGATGGCCTTCAATTTCGGACAGCCCTCTACAAGTGGAGGGAGTTCACAGTCGCTATTTGGAACATCTAATACCCCTGCATCATCAGGAGGAAGTCTATCAGGAACAAATTCTGGGTTCAATTTTGGCGGGATCAAGCCTCCGGCAACTGCGTCTACTCAACCGCCAAATTTCCTTAGCACTGGTGGTGCAAAAGACAACAAGCCCGCGTCTCCCAGTATCCTTGGACAGCAAAGTGGCACCTCTGGAAATTCTGCATCCCAGAACTTATTCGCGCCCAAGCCGCAGAGCGGCGAGTCTGCAAAGTCAAATTTTGGAGGGTTCGGTACACCAGACAAATCGTCTACCCTTACAACATCTGCTCCGTCGTTGTTTGGTTCTACAACCCCTGCTACCAGCAAGCCATTCGGTTTTGGCACGACTTCAACCACTCCAGCCGGACCTCCTCCAGCCAGCTCAACCTTGGCCGCAAGTACAGGCGGTGGTGGCGCTGGCCTTTTTGGTGCAAAACCAGGCGAAGATGCGTCCAAGTCAACCTTTTCCTGGGGTAAACCAGCTGCGGCAGGAGTAGCACCTTCTGGAAACCTCTTTGGTGGTTCATCTGGCGGCTTCAGTTTCGGAAAGCCAGCAGAGTCTACATCAATAACCACACCGTCGATGACTGCTGCTTCCGCCCCTGAACAGAAGTCCTTTTCGTTTGGCCAGCCCACTTCAGCACCAGCGACCTCGCAGCCAGCTGCTACTCCCTTATTTGGCGAAGCACCGAAACCACCAGCAGCACAAAATCTCTTTGCGAAGCCAGCCACGACAGCAGCTCCAGGGTCAGCCGCTAAGCCGACCTTTTCATTCGGACAGCCATCCGCAACGCAGGCTTCAGCAGCAGCGACACCCGCGACTTCTGCTCCTGCCCAAACACCTCTTTTCTCAGGATTCAACCTTGGTGGTGCTCAAAGCTCAGCATCGACAACCGCTGCGGCTACCACGACTGCACCTGCACCTACTGCGAGTCCGTTCTCCTTTGGTCCTCCAGCTACCAGCGCCCCGGCAGCTTCTCAGCCTGCCGGTACTTCAGCCCCTGCGGCAAGCCCTCTTTTCGGTAAGCCCGCGCCTACAACAACGCAACCTGCCACTACCTCAGCTCCTACTTCCAGCCCTTTTTTGTTTAGCAAACCGGCAACCTCAGCTACCTCGCAACCTGCTGCCCCTGTAATCACTGCCGCTCCGGCGGCTGGGACCACTGCTGCGCCGGCCTCAGTTCCAAGTGCCATAGGGGTCCAGACTTCCACAACCGGACCAACCCCGCCAGCTCAATCCCGCCTTCGCAATAAAACCATGGATGAGATTCTCACCCGCTGGGCGACCGACATGTCACGCTACTCGAAGGAGTTCAAAGATCACGCAGAGACCATCGCCCGGTGGGACCAGTTGATCGTAGATAACTCCTCTAAAATCGACAAGCTGTACGTCCGCGCCCGGACGTGTGAGCGACAAACTGTGAGTGTGGACATGCAACTGACCGCGGTTGAAAACTCGCAAGCGGAATTGGAATCTTGGTTAACTAAATACGAAAACGACGTGGATGAGATGTTGGCCAAAGATTCTATGACGCCTAGCGAAATGGGTGGACCCGATCAAGAGAGGGAGAGGACGTACAAACTCGCGGAGAAATTGGGGGAGAGACTGGAGGAGATGGAGAGAGATTTGGGAAGCATGGTTGACGAAGTTAATGCCGCAAATGCAAGCCTGAGTAGGAGTTCAAAGGGAGATGAGCCGGTAAGCCATCTGATCTGCCTCCTTAATATTTTGTTTCGAAGCAAGAGCTAATGAGGGCGATATAGATCACACAAATTGTCAAGATCCTCAATTCGCACTTGATCCAACTGCAGGCTATCGACCAAGGCACACAGGCTCTACAGGAAAAAGTTGCTGCGGCGCAAAAAGCGGCAAGTCAATTAGGGTATCTAGCCGGCTATAGGTCATCTTCAACAATTGATGGGAGCGACACCGGTGCAGCAGTCCAGGATTTCTATCGGAGTTACATGGGAAGGCGATCATGACGTGGCAAAGGGCTTTATCAGTGTATCAGTCAACGAAGCAACTTGGGTTTCTCCAATGGGAGGTGCTTTGGGCACTTTGGGAAGTAATAGGAACGGGGGGTGGCGAACACCTTAGCTCAAACTGCAAGTTTTGTAAGACTAGACGGATCAAATCTCGAGGAGCTCGAACATGGGAATGAGCTCTCGGTCAACATGGGAGTGAAGACATATGATATTGCCGGGCAGGCAGTCCAACTACTGTACAACCGAAGAATCATGCTTGTCCAGTGAGCCTGGTGTTTTATTGCTTTGCTTCTGGTCATTCATCCTCGAGAGACTGGTTCCCAGCATCACGGCTGTTCTCTCCATCACCAGGGGCCGACCCTCCAATGTCGTTCCCATTTATTTGTCTTTGGTGTATTGAGGGTCTTCGCCACCGGCATCCTTCTCCAGCTCCTGGATGTGCGCATCCAGTTCATCAAGGTGTTTCCGTTGTTGGGCGAGCTTCTCCTTCAATTTTCTCAAGCTGTTGTGTAAATCGTACTCATAGATTAGTCTCAGTGTATCAAATCGCTCCTTCTCGACGCCGAATACTGGAACGCACCTCTCCATTTCTTTCTCTCTGATGAACTTTGTTTCGCTGGCTTGCTCGCGTCTGGTAAAGGCATCACTGTTTTCCATCAAACCAAGTGTGAGCAGCAGTGCTAATGACATCGTGCTGCACGTTTGCCCTAGCAGGGCCTTTGAGAGAAGAGTCAGATGTCAGTTGAAAGAATACATACCCGGCAGCAGATCCACCATATCTGGGAGCCCCAGTATCTCCCTCAGATGCTCGTATGGCGGTGATGGAAAAGGATCGACGGATCGAGGAAGCCGCAGAAGCCCTGGCGAGCTTTACGACTTGAGTTCGTAACATTTTGTCGGATGGCGAGGGGTGGGATGAGAGTTGGATTGTGATCAAGGAAGGATGAGTTGGTACCGAGTACAATGCAGGAAGTAGTAGTTGCAGTCTGGGTGCGGGATGGATTGACTGAGCTCGCCTTGTCGCCTGCAGATGGCAGCTATTAGCAGTGGAGCAAATGACGAGTACGGAAATGCGCACTTAGTGTCTCGCCGTATTAATAGACAGGCAACTGCTACGGCGGAGTGAAAGGACCAGCTGATTGTTTATTTGAGCACGTGATGTGTTCTCGTCAGTGCCATTCGCCCCGTGAAAGCGGCAAAGAGGCCTCCTCGGCATCAAGAAGCATGTCAAAGCGCAGGATATTGCTCAATGCTGGGAACGGGGTCTCCAGGCTCGAATTTGCAGACAGGTGCCAGGCAATCCAATCTCCATGTGATCCGTCGATGAGTGGCGATGAAACAAGTGAGGCTGGAAGGAAATTTGAATGCGGACAAACCAAGCGGCGGCAGGTTATGTCAGTGACCTTTGGCGGGCCTGTTAGGGGTATCTGGTGGCTGCTGGTGGCTGCTGGTGGCCCCCTGCACCTTAATCAGGGCCAAGCCTCTGGCTGGCGGAAGGCCCCAAACAGCCAAAACAGCCAAAACAGCAAAACAGCAAACAGCAAACAGCAAACAGGGCAACAGGAGCGAAGGGGGAAGGGAGCCTCCCACTCTGTTCCCTCCCACTTCCATTCCCACTCCCCCCCTGCGGCTACCTTTTTCAACTACTGTAGGCGACGCCTGCAGGCTTGCGCACATTGCACAACCAACTCTCGTCCTCTCGTCTTTCTTTCTTCCATACCAACAACGTCTTTGCAAATCACCCACCCCAACACCCTCCCTCATCCTCTCGGATCACTTGTAATCCTGCTCGATCTCTCGAGTCCTCACCTGGTGCGAGTCCCATTGACCTCCCTACCTTCTTCCGACGGTAAGCTACAACCCCCCCCCAGCGTCGTCACCTCCTCCAGCGGTCTACATGTACCCCACGCCTACGAGCACTTGCACGGGACAATCTTCGACTGCGCCCTCAGTCACTTGAGCTTCAGTCGGATGTAGGAAACTACCTTGGGTTCGCGCGAGTCTCTTGATACACGTCCTTCACCCTGCCACCGCCAATCCGCTTGCGATCCCAGTACAGACGCTGTCATTGACGTCAATTCCTGCGTCTCGACCATTCACTCTCCATCTCAGTTCCTGTATGGCTGAAACCGCGGCGGAACGGGAAGGAAGTTGTTTTCTGTGCATTCACTGTAATCGCAATACCAAATGTGGCCCTTTGTTCTCGACCTTGTCGTTGTCCGGGCTGTTCGTTGACGCTTTTGCCGTTTGATTGTGTTGGGTGACTGGGCTAATCGGTCACCTCCTGCAGGTCTCCTTTTTCCTTTTGAATCACATCGCGGCATCCAACATCAAAAATGGGTGTTGAGGAGTCAGTCTACTTAGCAAAGCTTGCTGAGCAAGCGGAGCGATACGAGGGTAATGTCCACTTGTCCTCAACCTAGCCGTGTTCGAAACTGATCCTTGGTACAGAGATGGTCGAGAACATGAAGGTCGTCGCCTCTGCAGACCAAGAGCTCTCCGTCGAGGAGCGAAACCTCCTGTCCGTTGCCTACAAGAACGTCATTGGCGCCCGGCGTGCTTCCTGGAGAATTGTCACCTCCATTGAACAAAAGGAGGAGTCGAAAGGCAATGATGCCCAAGTCAAGCTGATCAAGGAGTACCGCCAAAACATCGAGAAAGAGCTCTCCAAGATCTGCGAAGACATTCTCGAGGTTCTCGACAAGCATCTGATCCCATCTGCTCAGACCGGCGAATCCAAGGTCTTCTACCACAAGATGTAAGCTGAGCTTCCCAATAGGTCACAGCAATTCTGACTTCTCGATAGGAAGGGCGACTACCACCGTTACCTAGCTGAATTCGCTACTGCCGAAAAGCGAAAGGAATCCGCGGACAAGTCTCTCGAGGCCTACAAGGCTGCAACCGAAGTCGCTCAAACTGACCTCGCGCCCACCCACCCCATCCGACTTGGTCTTGCCCTGAACTTCTCTGTCTTCTACTACGAGATCTTGAACTCTCCCGACCAAGCATGCCACCTGGCCAAACAGGCATTCGATGATGCCATTGCTGAACTCGACACCCTGAGCGAAGAAAGCTACAAGGATTCCACATTGATCATGCAACTGTTGAGAGACAACTTGGTGAGCCATGGAAACAGCCTTGAACCTTGCATTTCTTCCTCTAACAGTCCTATAGACTCTCTGGACCTCTTCCGAGGCTGAGCCCCAAGAGGCACCAGCTGCTCAGTCAAGCGAAGCTCCGAAGGAGTCTGAGGCGGCGCCTGCACCAGAGGCTAGCACAGAGAAGGCCGAGTAAGAGGACGTGTCCTGACCCGCCACGGTATCCGTTGGCAAAGATATCCCCCCCGCTGTCTCGGCGTGCAAACGAGGAGGACGGGCTGGGCGGCAGCATCACTTGCAACAATCTTTCCCACTTGTCATCCTCCAACTGATATTCCCATCCCCTGTTACCACCGACAGCCCTTCCGCAGATGGATTACAGCAGACAAGATAATCTGCGGTGGCGGTGCGACGACAAACAATCCCCTGATGGAAGAGTAGCTGCTTTAGGTACTTCGTTAGACCCAAAGACAGGAGAAGAAATAGCAATACGTGATCTGGTGATCGTTTCTCCATCTGCGCGGCATTGTCGTCGAAGTTATACTTCCCCGCTCATTCTATTACTAGTAGTTAGCCATTTCCTTTACCCGACTCATCTTCGCATGAGGCGTAACGTTTAGACAAGAGTGTCAGTGTCGCCATCGTGCCTCGCGCAGCTCGCCCACATTCGCGACTCGGCTGAATTTGACTCGTGTGGTGGGTGATATTGGGCCATACGCCAAATCTAATGTTCTTCCAGACCAAAACTGTGCAATCTCAGACCCGAAATGCGGCATGCATCGCCCTTCCGATGATCACTCATGTCTCTCTGTGTCTCGACTTCTGAGCTTCGCCCATTCACTCTTTTCCCATTTGGTTTTTCCACTTACTTATCCCTGCTTGTTACCGTTACAAGCCTGCTTTACGTTTTCTTGACCTGTGCCCTGACGGCAGCGCGGTTGTATGCCCAGCAAGTGATGCAGAGATCCTCTTCCCTACACTGCCCGGAACGGACTAGTTGTTCCCGATTTTGGAGCATGACATATTCAAACGATGAGGAGTTGGCAAGACAAGCCTGGCTGGCAAATAAGGAGCTTGAGAGTTGTGCACCCAGGCCAGGACTTACATCATCGTGGCAGAGCAGGGCGTAGCCGTATTGCCCAGCCTTGGAGTCGGCACTGTTTGGGACGTCGAGGCTACCAGTGCAGACTGTAGTTTTCAACGGTGTAGTGTTGGATGAATTCGGGCTTCCGAGGGAGAGGGAGGAAATGCTTTTGGCCGCGGTAGTGCTCATCGTTAAGCTGGGTGTAGAGGTCCAGGTCAGCGTCGACAAGTCTGCGACTCCTTCGTCGACGCAATCTTGAGCAAGAGTAGAAGCAGCACCAATGCTTCCACGCTCATCCACCCCTTCCTTATCCATCATGACACCTCGGGCTTCTGTTCCAGCAACCATGGCTCCCTCGTTTTCGACACGGCCACTGTCCACAAGCACATCACCCAGTCCATTAACCCACTGTCCATTACACCGCTTCCAGTATATCCCCTTTGCCAGAGGGCTGGTGGCAAGACATTCTTCTAACCGCTGCTTCTCGGCTCGAAGGAGGGCTTGAGCTTCGTTTGCAGCGGCGCTGAACGCATGTCGCGCAAGAGCCACCCGAGAAGACTCGTCGGCGGCGACCTCGCTGAGCAAGGTTGCTGGGCAATTGTCCAATCCCGAATTTGGGGCCGTCTCGAAGTGGGAGCTATCTTTACCCTCACAAACCTGATCGTCCTTGTTGAGGATGGTATCGAGCTGCGCGCCCAAGTTGCAACATATACCGCTTTCCAGCAAGGCGACGATATTCCTCAGCCTCTCTTTCGCGTACTGATCCATCACGGCTACCGCTGCCCTCGGCTTAAGCACTACGTCAGGCTCCTGCGAGTAGATACAGCCGTTGCCATGTGCGTACGTGATTTCGGGGCGCGGGAGGTTCAACTCGCTCCCCTTGCTAGAAATACGTCTGCCTGATGTTGCCGTGGTTATTTTCACCTTCTTGCAAAGGTCTTCTCTTGATTTCACTGTGGTGGTCCCTGTGACGATCGGGAATGTTGGCAGGGGTGAGTAAAATGGATGGATGAGTGTGCGGATCTCGTTGAGCACGGCCTCATCTAGTGCCGTGGATTGAGCCCTGGCCTCGCGACAAGATTAGTTGTCCCTCTTTTTCTTCAACTTTCGAATACACTCGAAGGAATGTGGATGTTAGTGGTAACATGTAAGATGAAGAGTCTTGGATTTGATTCACTTGTCTCCAGATAGAAGCTGAATGCATGGCTCCAGCGCCTATGACACAAGGGATCATGCAAGGTGGACCTGAGAGTCTCACAGAGACGAGCACAGACTCATCTGGAGGGCGCTGATACGAATCTCCAGGCCCCAGGCCGCCGAATGAGAGAAATCTGAAAAAGAGAAATTTGAATATCGACGAAGGGCACAGAGGCAAGAGGGCTGGGTTCGAAAAAATGATCCTTCAATCAGGAGACACTATGAACTTACGTGTCACTATGCCTCCGGCACATCTGAAAAGTGATTCTCGTTTCACCATCGCAAGTCCTGAGCTCGTGAGCATGAACACAGCCTGGGCATGCCTCATAGATATCCTGACCCCAGTGGTAGGACAGCGGGCAGGGAAGGGAAGTTTTGAAGACAACGAGGAACACCATCTTGTTGACTTCTGTGGGGGTTAGAGAAGGAAGAGAGCAGGGAGGAGGTAAATGAGGTATTTATAGGGTATTTATAGGGGAGTGGGATCGAAGTGGGCCAAAAACAGGTCATGCATACTATTCTGACAGGGCCTCGCCATGATACCCGTTTGTTGGTGTTGTCGTCGTCCTCTAGCTCTATGGATACAATGGCTCTGAGTTGTATGGCGGCCCTTCGGGGCTCAAAAAGGCAGGTTCGAAACTAAATGCTCTCGTCGTCTCAGTGAATCTCTCGAATCCGGAAATCGCAGGGTGTGCTGCATGGATTCAGCCTCAGTTTTTCCATCGTCTTAACCATATGCAGCTACTGATGCTGTAGCATTTTCAGCTCAAACAGCTCCTTTCTTGCTTTTTTCCTTAGTGCTAGAAGAACGGAGCCACGAACAGCCCTGACAAGTTCCATCCGGACGATTTGAGCTCGTTTGATCGGTCTGGCGACAGTGGTTGTCTGTTCGATAGCATTTGAGGTAGATCGATGTAGCAGCGCGCTTTAGCCCTGAATAATTGGTTCTGCTGGCATGATATAGGATCCAACGTGATAAATACATATGCCTCTGGGAATCGAGGAGGCAAGGGACTCCCACGTCTGTCTCGAGATGTCAGCCTCTGCAAAAAGTTGAGGTGGACAGCAGCAAAGATGCAATCGCACATCCGTCGTAACCACAGGTTTCATACATGATATTCCATTTGCAATATGTCTCGACCCTTTGTCACCGTCCACGGCAGACGCGTGTAGCGCGGAACTGAGGTGAATCGTGCTCAATGCGCCTCCTGCAAGCCACTTCAGCCAGCAGATTCCTCTCTCGCCGTTGTTCCTAGCAGTATAGAAGTAGCGATCTTCATTGATGTCCCTAATGAAAGGTATTGAAAGACTCTAATGCTGATTCCGTTGACGAATTCATGCTTTTCGCCGATTTCTTCAAGAGATGAAGCCCTCCTTCCATGTGTTCGGGGCTTGTAAGGTTGCTCAGGAAGTAAGCCGACCTGTACAGAGATGGATCTAAAGCAGCATCCAACTTTGCCAATGAGATCGCGTGACGTTTGTATACTCGGAGACGAACGGACCACTGAATACCCAGCAAAGCGATACCGTTCACTTAGATGTTCCCTCGGGCTTCGACCGCGGAGCACCCGGTTTGTCTGTTGAAGGTTCCATAGCAGGGCGAAGGAGTCGATGGCGAAGACCGATGCCATAGATACCCGCAACGACCACGTCGAAAACGTGGACAGCCCACCAGAGCTTGACGTTTAGACCACACATCTGAATGTGGTACATCCACTCGCTCGATTCGTAGTCAAACCATGCACTGAGGAGCCCAGCATTGCCTCCGTAGTCCCCCATCATGCTTCGGAGCGTGATCTCTCTAACTCCGGTGTGTGCGTTGCTTAGATTCGCGTGCTGCCATTTGCATTGATCCCACGAGGTCCGCCTCTTTTCCTCGCCGTTATCCTCTGGTGTTGACCAGACAGATTCAGAAGGGATAAAGTGCCAGACATCACAGCCCTCGTGGTCATGGCCAGTCAGAATGAGACCACTTCTGCCTTTACCTTCAGCCGGGGCACCAAGATCTCCGCTCATGCCAAATAATGCCTGCAAAGTACCCTTCTGACTTGTTTGCTCGCTCAGGTGATTTTGTTCTTTCACTCCGTGGGGTTTGTAAACGCCACCACCATTGTCATTGCCCCAATAATCGAAAAAGGGGGCATCAACACAAGTCCCTTCTTTCTTGTGGAGTGGAAGGTGTGTAAGCAGGAGGGTAAAAGACGAACGGTCTTCCACAGGTCGCAAACGGTGAGAGATCAGGTCATTCAAATAATCGAACGTTTCGGTCTGAACATCCTCGGACAGGGCAGGGCTGTCTAGAACCAGACTGTTCAGGACAATCAGATGTAACGATGGCTGGAGGTCGATCTCTGTCCCAGTCTCGGTGCTATTGAACCTAGGATACTGGAATCTGACATCCCAGTTGGCCTTCCCAAAGACCTTCTCAAACCGGTCCATTCTCCCCCGAGAAATATCCCCAGCATAGCCAATGTCGTGATTACCGGCAATATTGATCAGTCGGCGCTCCCAATTTGTATCATGCATTTCAAAAAAGGTTTGCTTGCTTTTATTGCTCGGAGTCGTGATGTCGTCTTCCACCCTGCGACCGCCCACAAAGACTCTATTCCAAAACCTCCACCCTCTCCATCCAAACTCTTCGTCGGTGACCCATTGGCTGCCGATGAGATCTCCAAGCACAGCCACGTGAGTAGGCTTCGTCCACCAGTGCAGTGTTCTGTATATGTGACCCAGGTAGTAATCGTTGCCGAATAGATCAAGTCGTTTTCGAAGGGCCTTCAGTGCCTCGGGGAGGTCTTTAAGAACTACTTCTTGCACAGTATCAAGCGCGGAAGACAGCCAATATTGTGATTCCTCTGTGCACAGCTTCGCCCAATGCTGCCTTAGCCTAGGTATAAAGCTATCTTCGGGTTTAGGAAGGGAGCTGTCACCTTCAAGCTGAGGATCAGCTAGGGCTAGCAATCGGAAAGGGGCACGCGAAAGGGCTGGATGGAGGTCCGAGTCGCGTAAAAGTGTCCAATGTTGGTGGAAAGTCTCGCTAAAGGCGGTCGTAGTCGATATGTTTCTCCATGAGAAGACACATCCGTGAAAGATTGGATAGAGATAGAGATAGGTGGTCGAGCAAAGGGCAACTAGGGAGAGAAGGCGCAGCAGCTTGTCTGCAAGTCCATCTTTATACATCGAACCAGAATGAAAACAAAACGAGAGAATCACAACAAGAAGTACAACAACGATTTGTGGGATATCAAAAACTGTGAGCTCATTGCATTGTTGAGGGACAAGAAGCGCGACATTTAGGGAGGCAACTGGGTTGTACCTTGGAGGCACTCCATTTCTCCCAAACCAAACAACAAATGATTGGCCAGCCTTGCGAATATCAGGCTGAGCGGAGCCTTGCCCCCAATGGGGCTGATTGATTCAATCACAATGTGCCCTGTACGAGGGCGGAGGAGAGGAGCAAAAGCAAATGAGAAGTATTATGTATTCCCGAAAATGTATTATATGTAGGATAAGATAAGTAAGTCCTCCCCCTGTGTATCATTATGTCTGTATTTTCCGTTCCGCGTCATCGTCGGGACGTGCTGTTGTCCCGCTTGTCAGGCCTGTGCTAATTTCAAGATTCATGTCCAACTCGTTGAATTCGAGCCCCTTTATATTCAAACCACTCTCTTGCTCACCCTTCTCTTCCTGGGGCATTGGCGTCTCAGCCAATTCGGCTATATCTTCCGTGCCTTTCAGGGCCGGGGGGCGTTCTTTTCTTGCCCGGGCTTTAGCCAAGCTGATAGTCTTCTGCCGGTTTGTCGTCTCGAAGTTTGCTAGGTCATGTTCGATGGTGGCTTTCAAGATCTCGGCCATCCATTTCCTTCCGGCGGTGATGTTCTCAACCTGGAAAACGTGAATTGTAGGTTTGGTGAACTGCACCGCTCTCGAAGAGCCTGCTTTGGGAGGTACGAGCTTGAAATAGAAGGGTGATCCTCCACTGGTGTTTCGCGTGACATTCGGAGAGGTCTCGGTGGACGATCCAGTAGTACCAATGGAAGGTGTAGATTTTGTTCCCGTTATGGAGACTTGAAGTGACGTAATGGGGTCGGCGGTGGTGACAAGAACCTTGTGCCCTGATATATCGATGATGCCTTTTTCCTCTGTGTCGTTCTCTGAATAATAGTATGACAACCGACGGCCTCTGAGGATGAACAGCCTGGGTTTCCACTGTGCAACAATGCCGCTAGATCTTTTCTTCATCCAACCATAATGGTCACAGTGCTTCCGTGCTTCCGCAGGCGATATTTGTAGCAAGCCCCTTGTGTAGGCGCTTGTTTGTCGCTTGGTCTTGGGATTAGTACGCACGGGCGTTTTCGTATGCAATAACGGGCCTAGCTGTTCCATTGTGCCTTTCGAAGACGTGTCCGTATTGTCCATTTCGAAGCTGCGCGACGTTGCAGAAGGAGTTTGTGACCCAGAAGGTGATGCCGTAGGGCTTTCCCTTAATGGGTCGGATGTAATGTTTGACGAACTGGCATTTTCTCTTTCAGTTCCGGTAACAGCCTCAGATGCAGCTCGCATACCCAACAGCTTCCGCGCCTTTGTGGATGATGTCCAGGGGACTGGGCCCGTGGCAGCGGGGGACGCCGAACCGCTCACAGCCTTTGGTGAGGATAGAGCTGATAGACTGTCGTCCTCCAGATTCGTCACCGTGGGAGACTGCGCAATTGGTGAGCGTTGCATCGTCAGATTCCTCGCACTTGCAGAACGAAACCGTCCTGTATATGGTCTACTGTGATATGCCTTTGCGGCTGAAGAGATAGAAGCGGCACCCCTGATGGAATCAACACTGCTGAGTCGCGAGTGTCGTTTCATGCCGAGACCATCCTTAGACGAGTCATCAAGCAGGCTTGATTGGCGGGAATGGCTTACACTTTCCACGCCTCCTTGCTTCTTTAGCAAATTCCTCGCCCTTCTATTGTCGACCTCATTTCCGCTAAAATAGCCCCGGTCCAGATCGAAAGTCGAAAGCTCGCCATTGAACCCAGGGTCTGCAGCCAGATCAACGCTTGCCGTCTGATTGCTGATGTGCAGCCTGAGCGACGGGGAGCTTCCGCTAGCGTTTGCTGTGATTGCGTTGCTCATTGACCAATCTCTATCGAGCGATGCATTTTTCTTATGTGGGGGGGAGAGACTGGTGGCCCCGACAGGCGCGGAGGTCTCCTGAAGCCCCTGCTTTGCGAAATCGATCGAGGAATGACGGCGAGAGTGGTTCGGTTCTCGTATTGAAGAGGCCGACCGTCGTGTGGGGGATTCAGCAGCCACCGAAGCCCTCCACGGCGAGGGGGGAGTGCTTCGTCCGAGCTGGGGCCGGGGAAAAGAGGATGGAGCCATGACCTGTTCGGAAGGTGGCGATGAGGTAGATAAATGGACATATGGGTAAGCGTACTGGGTCTGGCGGATAGAGAGTCCCGGTTCTTCCATCAGACTAGGTATTCGTGGCAATATCGTGGTCCCTCGTACTTGGACTCGGGCGACATCTTCGTTAGAGCCGTTTGGCTTGAGGCTGCTCTTGCGCGACGTTGTGCCGTTTCGGATCTGATTCTGAAAGTCTCGGATCTTGTGCCAGGTCTTCAGACGGCGGCCCATTAGACCAAAATCGAACTCCTTCATGTGGATGAAGGACTGGTCCATTTCTAACAAGACGTCGCCAGTGATTTCCTGCTCTTCAAATATGTCACAATGTTTCGCGTCGACACCCAGGCCTCTCAGGTAATCGGCTGTCTCTTTGGCATCCCATTGCTTGACGTCAGCTTCCGTTGGGCGCGGGTTATCCTCGCTATCGGTTTCTGGGCCGGCGATGTAAGAGCCTCGGTCGACATGGCTGCTGCTATACTCACTCTCGGAATCCTCAGTCAGAGGCTGTGGCGGGGCTAGACTCTGACGTGGCGTGCTCAGGTCCGTAATGTGTTCATTTATAACGCTTAATGTCTCGTTCATAACCGGACTTTCCTCCCCACTTCCCCGGCTTGATAGAGCCTGACTGATGCTTCGATGAATATATGAAGTGGGAGAAGGCGGCACAGAGTTTCGCAGAGGCAGAGTAGACTGCGGCAGTGGGGACGAGGAGAGTGTTCGGTAGGCGGGTGTGTCACTGGTCGGACTGGCTTGTTTGAGTGGCTCGCTCTTTGGCTCATTGAGCGGCTTCGCAAGGAATGGAGGGCTTTTAACGGCTGGAGCGCCCACAGGCGCGAAGTTTGGAGGAAGCTTTGCGGTATAGACTGGCCACATGTCAACTATTGTGAATGAAGGATGCGGTTGTGGTGGAACAAATTACCTCCAGGAAACAAACCCGTCGTTCCTGTACCAAGATGCTTCCCAAGATACCAACCATCACCGAAGCCATCATCCAACTCAACCAACTCGATTTGGTCGGTTTTCCGGAGGGTCAACTCATCAGCGCTTCTTGCATCGAAGTCATCTAGATAGAGACTGTCAGTGAAACATTCTCACACAAGGTGTGTCGCAACGGGTGAACGCACGGATAGCCACGAGTACATCACCGGGCTGCAGAGCCGCCCTAGGGCGCTGTTGGGGAGGGGCGGACATGATATGTTGATCAAGCGTAAACCAGTAGGCATTCGAGCGCAATAGGGACCTAGCTAGCCACGCAAGTTGTAGTGGTGGTAGTGGAGGAGAGGTCGTAATTGAAGTGTCGGAAGATCGACCGGACGCGCAGTGACAAGTGCCTGCATGATAGAAATGGCTCTTCCAGCTGCCCTGACAGGGTGAATGGCGCGAGCAACGTCGAAATGTGAAGAGGAGATCGGTCAGGACGTCACACGAGGTTGGTGGAACAGAGAAGCAACAGGAAATGATATTGCGCAGGCTGATCTGATGGTGATGCTACTGTCCGACGAGGAGTTGCCACAACAGAATTGTTTGGCCACTGTGATAGGCACCTCATCGGCCAAGCTGGCATTGATTGATCGACTGATGGGTGGATGGATTCCTTTGTCTTTCGTGCCCTCCAGCAGGATGCATGAAGCCAGGGCAGTGGAATTGAACAAGAAGTCGGAGGTTTGCTTTGACCAAACCCTCTCTTTCTCTCACACTGGCATGGCCCAAAATGAGGCCTACATGCACACAGCGGAAAGCGAAAGCGAGACGGAACTGCAGGGGACTCTCCCCAGGGACGCTCCAAGATGCCCCAACAGCCCTGGGGCTGCCCATGATTCGCCAGCTCTGGGCTAATGAGACGTAGCCACCCACCATTTTGCTGGTCTGGTGCAAACACTAGGGGCGCTCAACTGGACTACTAGGCTCCGTTGCTCGCGGTCAACTAACCTAACTAGCCCACCTCCGTATAATACGAGAGCCTCGAGTACCTCCCACACACGCCTCCTGCAACACTGTCACTGGCCACTTCAACGCAGCCGCCGATGACCCTGTCACTTGTCACCACCACCGTTGTTGGCTCGCCGGCTACATGAGCCACCTCCCATTGTATTTTTGATCATTGTCTCTCCTCTTCCACCACAACCAGAACCACCCCTCTTCAATTGACCAGCCAGACTTCTACAATCGCCGTGTCCTCTCTGTGCATACAGCATCGCAGACCTGTCTACTCCAAGCCTGCGGCTTGTGGTCGTCGCAGACTCGTTACGCGCCTCCACTTCCATCAAGATGGGGCTTCACCGCATGAGCTGCTCAACGACTTTCATTGCCTTCATCCAAATCCCCTCCGATTCTGCATCTGGCGGCAGTTTGCTTTGACGCAGTTGAAGTCCCCCCAGTTCAATGTCGATGCCATTTCCGACGCCATTTTTGGGTGTGCTCTTAATCGTACGAATCCGAATGCCCTCCCACTCTCTGTTAGTACAGGAAATCTCTCTCTTGACTTTGCGCGAAACCCGTGGATGGCCGACGGTGCGTCTCAAGTCAACAGTGGCTCCGCTCACTCGGAGTCAACCCGTCGACAGCGCAAACGGGCTGCCAGGTCCAGAAGACGACAGTAGGTGAGATTACTCATTAACGTGCATTCGCAGCCGTTCGAAGAGGATTCAACTGTCCAGGTTACACCCCGACGACACCAGAATGGTTCTACATTACCCGCCCAGTCATCCCCCCCATGTGCGATGATCGAATCGAGGCCGACACGCATCCCTCCCAGCTCCAGTTTGACTGCCACACCCAAAAAAATGCGAAAGAATTTCGTAGGGAACTTGGCGGATAACGGCCGACAGGAAGAGGCAGTGCTGGCCCCAAGGCAGACTTCTGACAACATAGTTGCCGTGAATTCAAAGCCAGAAACACAACCACTCAGCGTTCCGCAGGCAGAGTTAGGACGAACCTTGAGCACTCCTGACCTCTCGGACGATCCAACCGTCCAAACCGCGACGAATAGACTGCAAGAGACAAGACATTTGAGTGTTCCAGTTCAAAATAGGCAACGGAAGGGGGACAATTCTCTGTTCATCACTGCTCTGTGCCTCCCTCCCGACACCGCCCCTCGAGCACAAACGCTGCATGTGCACCGTGGGACAAAGCGGCCTCATAGCGGCACTTACAGCCCTGAATGGAGCGTCCGCCCGAGGACTGATTCAGACATCCCAGGGTCTGCGGGACAGCTGCTGACGCCGCACGAGTCGCTAACTCTGTCGCTCGACGAGCTTTCTCTTAGCAAACAGCTATCGGCGGAACTGACTGCCATCAGCATTCCTCCTTCTGTGACCAGGCGGGCACAAGGCCTTAATTATACTGGAATTGACATGTTGCGCGATGCTTGTCGACAGGACGACCAGTTTTTCCTTCTTACACTATATTTTCAGTAATTGGTTTTGCTCAAAGTGTGACACCCTTGGGCCACTCTCGTTGACGCGAAATCAGCTTCGAGGCCTTAATATTCTGTCCGAAGTCCTGCGTAGCGACATTTGTGTGCCCACGGAATTAAACAGACTGTTCATGAATTTCCCCCGTCACCCAGCAGCGATGATGCCTAACGCAACTGATGAGTCTCGAGCTTTGCTCAAGGACGTCTGCTCCTTCCTCGACGATTTACCAGCTCTGATCCGCGTATAGAAGGACATGACATCTCGAAGAGGATTTCCGGCAGCTCCGGCGGAGTTGAAGGTTAAACTCAGGCTGCATTCTCCCGTCATGCAGAAGGCCCTCTTTTACCACCTCCATCATGAAGGAGCTAACAACCCAGGAAGATTCAATCAGGCTTTGCGCTTATTTGAGCAAGAAATAGAAGATTTGGACTCGTCGTCCACCTCAAATATCTCCGAGGCGGCACGAAAATGGGGCAGCAAGTATTCACAAGTTTGCGAGGCGAATTTCGCAGCATTGCAGATGCCGGCTGGTGGTGACCATGGCGGTTGCAGGCCTGCTCCACAAGCTGCATCTACTCATATGCCGAACCAGACTTACAGAACACCGAGTCATCATCTGGATTCTGCGCCATCTAACCCCGGCCCCTCTCCCATGCTTCACCGTGGCACGGTCCAACCAGTTACCGCTGTAGGAATTCAAGAAATCGCCTCCGCTTGGCAGGCACGCCAGACAGTCCAATCTCAACAGCCCCTTGCATCAGCACAACTGCCGCAACCTCGAAGCAAACTTCAAAGTGCAAGCCAGGCGCCGCAATGTAGTAGTTTGAATTCAAGCACAACTTCCATGTCAGCAGCTGTACAACAACCGGATTCCGCGGCACAGCCTTCACAATTAGCACCACGCACGACCGCCTCACAATGTACACCTGTCCAAATAGCGTCAGCCGCGTCCCATTCCCAACTTTCGACCCCATCAGACCCACCATCTGCAGCACATATCCACAGTCCGGAATATCGAAGGATAGACGAGTTTAATGGCAACGCGTCTAACACTCCCTGTTATGAATTTGTTGAAGCTCTCATAGTGGCCCAGGAGTGCATTCACGCTGATTCAGCCCTGGTGTACTGGAACGTGCACATTTCACAAGACCATTGGGCACGGAGGGCGGCTTCTCTGCCCGCGGCCGGGCAGTTTGGTCCTAGAGAACGCGACGTATCAAATGACAACGTGCAGTTCAGATTAAGGTCAATCGCTGTCCAAGCAGATGGGGGAGGAAAGGTTACGCCGACTCCGTCAGATTTTCATGTTCAACCTACAAAATGGCCGATAGGTCTGGCCGTGTCGATCAACGGAGACTACGGAGTTGAATTTAAACGATCAAAGGCACCTAATGGTGCGCACCTGGCCACAGATGTGACCGATCTCCTGAAAGAGGGCGATAACGAGGTCGTAGTTGGCGCTTATTTTACCCCGCAAGAAGAACGTTCGCGTTGCGTCTATCTCATGGCTGTCGAGGTCATCTGCGTCGCAAACCATGACAAGATCGCAAATTACGACAAGATGAAATCAATGCCGACTCGAATTCCTAAGGCAGATGTTATCGGCGCGATCACTGAGTCCCTGAAGAGCAAAAGGGACAGGACTGAGGTTGTTGATTTGACTATCTCTCAATCAGCCATCAACATCGATCTAATGGACCCGTTGACGTCTGTGATCTGGACGACACCTGTGAGGGGGAGGGAGTGTCGACATCAGGAATGTTTCGATCTCGAGGCATTTCTGTTCAGGCGTACAGACGGCGTCAACAAAGGAAGCCTGGCAAGTCCTGACCGATGGAAGTGCCCTATATGTGAAGGGTATGCGCCCCCCAACATGCTGGTTATCGACGAGTTTTTGTTAGAAGTACGCAAGACTCTCGAAAAAGATCGTCAGTGGCAAGCACAGGCAATTGACGTCAAAGAAGATGGGACTTGGGAGCCCAAATTCCCGCCCACGAACCCCAGGAATCAGGCCCGAGATATGTCAGCCACAGAAAGGTCGATAGGTTCGCTGCAATCTGCTCTCCGAGCAGTTACACAGGCACCAACGGCATCCCGAGCAATTGGAACAGATTCAAGGTCCATAATCGTCATTGATGACGATTGACGAGATGTCCGATGCATGCACAACCAAGACAAATGCGCTTCACCCTGGCGCCTTGGTCTTGCAAGACTTGTAATCAGCTGTTCAATAAGTTGGCTTACGCATTGCTTGTTGCTCAAACCTCTCTGTAACTATTCTCGTTCTTCAGCTGGGCTCAAAATCGTATCAATAATCCTCGTCGCTGTCTGTTGTGAGATCAAGACTTATGACATGAACGTATTATATTGGGTATACACAATGGGGTGAATACTGACGAGTGATGAAGCATACAGGTGGGTGGCGCTTTTCGCAGTTAAGGTCTGCTGCATTCTGGTTCCTATTCCGTAGCAGCCCTTGTTGTTTTCTATGCATGCACCTGATTTTATGCTGGATCTTCTCATGGTGCAGGGAAAGGGACGCTGGGGGAAATCACCAAGATCATCGGCATGAACACCCGAGATGGAGCTTGGATCTGAGACTGAGGCATGGAGATTGGAGGCTCGAATCAACGCGGGTACGGGTTGTTGAACGTGAGCATAGCAATGCGCGTATGGGGCGGGCACTTTTTCTTCGGTCGAGAGCTGAAGGTCGTCGAGATGGAGACTCCAGCAACTGAAGATGCGGCCTTACAACCACGTCGTGCTCATGTTTCCCGTGTGAAGCAGACCCAAGCCAGAGAAGCGCGGCAGAAATGGTGAATCTTTCGATGCCCTCGAGCTCGACAATACAAGTAGGAAGAAGAGACTTTGTGAATATGAATTAACGTTCAAGTCATGAAAGGGGGGTTACGGAACACCATGTTCTCTGCATATAGTCAGTCCTTCTCGACTTGGGAATCGAGATCTTCCGTCAAAATTTTACTCAGCCCTGCAGAACGAACCGCTGATTTCTTGCTTCCTCGACTCTCTCCGTGCGTTTCCCTCTTAATTCACTCCTCCATATGCGTCTGCACGCTAACCTCTCCCTCTCCTCTCCAGGGGGACAATTTACAAGGATGCCGCAACAGCATCGTTAAGAAGTTAGCTATTGCTTAGCTCTAGCGTAAGGAGGGGGTTGCTTTAAAGTTTACCTGAATTCTCGGAGCGGGTCCGATGCCTCGAAGGATTCTTAGCGGCCTCCTCGTCAGTGCGATTTTCAAGGAACATTTGACGTAAGTTGCGGCAGTTGAGCCAACAGTGAGAGTTCTTACCTCATCTTTATCACGCCTCTCTACAAAACGGCTCACCCACTATGGTAGATATCTGCCTAATCCAACCCTTTATTGGGCTGTGAGCCTGTCGCTGCTCGCCGTGAGCGGGTCATAGCTCCGCGCCTTGATGTTGAAGAGTTTGCAGACTGTCTGGATCTCCCTGCTTGACTTGTTGCCACTTGTCTTTGAGATTGTGGCAGAGCTGCACGTCCTCGGCTCTGCGTCTTCCGTGGGACGCCGTTTCCACTCCGAGGCTTGACCTTTGCAGGAGATTTAGATTTGCCTTTGGTCTTGGAAGGGCCTTTGCCTCGAGTCACGGCTCTGGTGGCGGTGCTGGCTCTCCGTTGGACCGGCTGAGTAGGAGCAGGAGCAGCCTTGGGTCCCGGGGGCCTGAGGTTCATAGCGTGGTCAACCCTCGCAGGGCCGGCGCCTCTGCTTCTCAGTCTCATGTGATGTGTACTTCCAACGGGCGCGGCCGCTCCTCCTGTATTGAGCTTGCGTCTTTTGGCAGTTCTTTGTTCTTCTTCGTCTTCATCATTAGGACTTTCTCGCTTTTGCGGCCTTGCATCTTGGACGGGTGACCTTGACTGTGATACTGCCGGTCCTGATTCGTTCTTGTCTCCTCCAGGTAGGGATTGGATAAATGTCAGTGATTCAGACTGCCGGCTGGGAAACCCTCCAGCTGGACCTGGATTAAGCGAAGTCGAGGGTTGTAGACTGGGCAAGTTCCACGCCAAAGTTTGGATTGGCGACAACGGTACATCAGGCACCGGGCGAGGGTAGTTGAATCTGCTGAAATCGCGCTCTCCATTCCGGTACGCATTGATCAGCGTATCCCATTCTAATTCCCTCTCATCTGGCGAAATACCGAAAGTCACCCACTCAAGCCCTCCTTGCTGGCGATCACCAAAACGACAGAAACGCCGTTCTGGGATCTCCATGTCGAGGCGAGGCATCCGTTCAAGTATCAGCATCCGCAGCTGACTACATCTTGCAAAAGATGGAGGTCCTTCCGACGGGACTGAGTTCTCCAGCCATGGGCTCCATGAGCCTCCTGGTTGCACCGGTGTTTGTGTTCTTGTGGGGAAGGCTGGCCAGACCGGTGATGTAGATGCCACTTCCGAGAAGAGCTGTGTTGAGGTTACCGGAGTCCCAGACAGTATTTCAGACGATGGGACATCTTCTCCGTCTGTTGAAAACGGACTCGGCACCGGCGACTTCGCCCTGGAGTGCGCGGTGGCCGTGGAACATGGAGAGGGCTCGATTGGCGAAGTAGATCCCGGTTGGTGGGCTCTGTTGCGCTTTTCAAAATGATCCAAGTATAACCCTACCTGGCTTGGTCGACTCGAAGATGTTAATGACGGAGAAGAGCCGCTTGACGACGACGAACTGTCGGATGCTAATCTGGACTGCGATTGCTCTCGCCAAGTTCCGAATGGGTTAAGTGGCGCGAAGGCTGCCGGTTTTGCACCTCCCATGGTTGAGTCAGAGGCCCGCAGCGCTCCCAGAGGGTTATTGCGACGTGGTCGTCCTGGGGAGTCCTTGGACTGTAATCGTACTTGAAGGTTAGTGAACTGAAACTCGGGTTGGCTTGTTTGGCGACCAGGAGTATGGGCATCTTGAGGAGGCTGTGACCTAGGCAGCGGCATAGCCAGCCCTCTGAGTCTCGGGCAGGCGGGCCTGTCGTTGACGTCTAGTTCGTCGTAATGATTCGCCAGCAAATCTACGGGGCGACCATCGGCAGATATCCGGTGTTCAGGATCATAAAAGGCATTGATAACTCCAGCGTCTGCGGGATTGAAAATTGGCCCTGTTTTTGGGCTGTAGTTGGGCCGGTCAAGAGGCCCTTTTGTTGGCTCTGGATTCCAGTCAACCATGCGGAAACCAGGATCCCTCCACAGCACTCTGGGGATATGCCAGGTCAAGTCGTCTTGTGGCAGTTTGGGATCACAGTGGATGCCTGGGTCGTCGGCTGGAATCGGTCGATTCTCCTGGGCCATATTCTCACGATGAGCGGCGCAGTAGGTTGGGAGATAACAGAACTCCACTGAAGGTTCGCAACTTGGGCCTTCCTTTTCAAAGTGTTCGCAGCCGAAATCGTATCGGGGAACACCATCTTTGTGCTTGTCGCAAACCTCGATGACGCAAGGCAATTTTAGGTTTTCAACACCTCCATCACAAAGATTCCTCGGATCACGCTCGTCATAGTTCTCGCCCGCATCCACGGGCCTCCAGCACTTGGTGTAGCGATACTTGATGATCTTGCACATTTTGGGTTAAGAGGAGATGTGCTCATGGGGGAGATTTGGTGGGAAATATTCAATGAAATGTAGCTCATGGAGAGAAGAAAGTAAACGATAGTGACGAGGGTTCAATGGAAAGGGGGAACGCGAGCCGTATTACTGTGGTAGACACATTGACAAGCACGTCCGCCTACCTTTGGAGATGAGGGCTTTCTAAACCTCCTCACTCTTCATTTGCGTCTTTGTCGTCTATTGTGAACAGAATCTGAATGCTATCAATAGGGTCTTTCATATCAAGCCGGGAGAGTTTGTGCAAGACCAAAGAGTAAAAAGAGCATGAACAATGGATTAACATTGGGTGAATGAAAATCATAGCCGACAATGGGAAGGGCGGCAACAAGCGGTTGAAGCGTCGTCAAGAGGGATCAATAGGACTTTTTCGAGCATGTTGTTATTCACAAACACAGGAATGTCCAACCTTGGCAGATAGAGCATGGCCATCGTAATAACGCGAAGGCAAGCGAAGGAGCATAGTACTCGGTAGTCAAGGTTGCGAGAATGAGCCTATCACGTGATGACGCGTTCACCGCATGACCGATGCGCGCTGGCGTGATGTGATCACCAGGGTCCAGGGGTTTGCCTCGGCTCTGCTACCGCTAAAGTGGTGATGTTCTAGTGAGCTTCGAGGATGTTCTGGGTAAGATTTCCCGGCTAGCAAGGCCCTTTGGCGGGCACAGCGGGGGATCCCTCCCTATCAGCTGCCTAGCTAGTGCCTATTAGTACCTATCAAGTACTGTGCCAGTACCTATCAACGATTAACTGGCAGTGGGCGCTGCTCCATCCCTCAGCTCAGTGATCCTCCGAAATGAGCCACCATGTAAACACTCACTTTCGCAAGAGCAATTAATTTCTAGGCCGCTCCTCCTGCCTCCGTGTCAACCCGGCTGCTCAGGTTGTGCATGCGCCCAACGCTCCCTTCTTTCAACTTCTACCTCGTAATGCCCTTCTTTTCGTCTTGAGCGTCTTGAGCAGCCTCTCCTTTGTCCAAGCAGATTTTTCACTTCTCGCATTCCTTTGCTCTCGGAGCACCGTATTGCATCACGCTCGACTCCTCGCGGTGCGAGGCCAGGAATGTTGGCTAATTTCAATGCTGTCGAATCATTAGCCCCTCCGCCGTGAGCTCCCACTCTGTCAACCAGTCGAGCCGCTTCCGTTGCCAATGGTGAGTGTTGTTGGGCTGCCGAACCATCCTGTTGGCGTCAGAGCTCCATGACAACATAATTCTTGACCTCGCAGACTATGGACGACGGTCATGCCCACCCCCAGTCACCGGCGCCCACCCTTCACGTCCGCTCGCGATCAATCCCCCCCTCTTTGCGCGAGTATCCATCAAGTCATGCGACGCCGAAGTCTGCCCCTCACACCCGACAGCAGAGACTCCTCCAGACTCGCCATGCAAAGTTCTCGGCTCAAAGCCTTTCGGTCAATGGCATCAACGTCCCCTTTCCTCCGCTGACTCGCTCCACCGAAAACGACTCTTCTTACTTTTCTTCCCCAAGATTTAACAGAGGGGAAGAGAATGGCAACGATTCGAACAAGGCCGAGAAACTGAGCAATGCGTCCATAGAGTCTGCTATTTTGACTGAGATTTCAAACGCCAATGCTTGCCGCATACGAGGATTGAAGAAGCGAGCCGCTATACCCATCTTTCAGGATTCACCGGATAAGCCCACAGTCCGCGGTACAGGAGCCAATACACCCTCGGTCTACCACGACGCATCCAGCGATATACATGCACCTTCATTTCCCAATTCTGGGCAAGATAGCCCGACCAACATGGGTCTTAGAGAAGTCTCGGTCAACCTCCAGAGGCCGTCGCCTCACAAAGATTCGCCATATCATCGCTCCGTGCGACTTGGGCTAAACCGTAAAGGATCTCAAGGAAAACCCCGCTTCAATTCGGACGAGTACATAGAGCATATCGAAAATGAGTTACAGATGGTCAAAGATGCCATGTATTCGCCGACCACTCATATGCCCTGGAAAGAAAAACTCCGAAAAGCAAAAGAAGAGAATGACCGCTTGAAGAAGGAGATGAATGCCATAAGGGCATCATTCGAATTCGAACTACATGAAACAGTCGAACGGTCTGCCGAGACGGAGCTAAAGCTGAAGCGCAGGATTAAGGATCTAGAAGATGAGGTTGAGCTTAAGAAGTCGGTCATTCACGATCTAGAATGTGATCGTGAAGAAAAGAGATCGGACCAGAATGCCTTGGAAGTCCTAAAGGCAAGAATCGAGAAGCTGGAAGAGGAAAGGCTTAGCTTGGAGACCACGAATCGCGATATGACAAAACGTAATGAGGTGTTGACCCAACTCCTGGCCCTATCACCGACAAAAGCGCAACCGACCATCGGCATTCCTACGCCTAGGCAGAAAAGCGGCCGTCCCATGTCCCTGATCATCCCCAGATTGCCCACATCGCCCGGGTTTCAGACATCTCAGAGCAGACCTCAGTCGGTCATTGCGTCCCCAGCACTTGCGGCCTCGGACTACTTCCCAGCACATCTCCCGTCGTCGCCCTTGTCGTCATGCCCATTCGACAGCACTGCCCGTTCCCCAGAAGCTATTGACGACAGGCACTCGATCGACTCCGTACTCGAAGAGTCTGATGTACAAGTCGGGAACGAGATTGAATCGAGACGGTCAACGCTTGTCTCTAGTCCTTCAGACAGTCCTGATATGCCTGGTGGGGGTCATATTCGTGCGGAGAGTCGATCGCAAACAGTCATGAGGCACCCTTCGAAAAGGAGACCTCGAAAATTTATGCCTGGATCTACACAACTGAAACCCCTTCTCTTGCCTACATTTACGGCCGAAAATGGTAATCTTCCTTCAACCTCACCAATCGCGTCGCCGACTCGGCCACTCCCCATCCAAGTTAGCTCCCAGATTGCCAGATGCGAACCGCCTTCCCTTCCGCACTCACATATCGGACGCGGCTTAGAGACTCCTTTTCCAAGCCCGGAAAGTGTGAGCGGTCGACCGGGACCGGCTTTCCAGAGCCTGGACGAGGTGTTTGCCAGCGATGGACAATGTTTCCAGCCAGATGTACTTGATGAGCCTCTCGATGAGCTTTCATTTTCACGTCCCGTGACCCAGTATCGAACTCCACTCCAGAACGGTAACATTGTACCGGGCATGGAATCTTGCTCCAGTCCCCGGATCAGTTCCTGGGTTTCAAAGACAATTTCGTCACTGCCTAAGGACGTGGGATGCAACTCTCGCCATGCCGCCGTTACTATTGCCGGAGTAATGTGTGAAGAGGGCCGTGGCATATCCGAAACTGGCAAGATATTTGACCAGCAGGATATTGCCTCTGACGTCGACAATGTGGATGTGTTTCAGTTTCGAGACAGTGTCGAAATTCCGCGACCGTTGTTCTCTAAACATCGAACTCGCGGTGGTGGTCACTCAATTTCCCACATTGAATACCCCGAGTCTCCCCTTAATCCTCGAAAGCGGAGGAAAACAAGCTCGATATGCGAGTTCCGCTGTTCAAGAGTTGATATCATCAATCAAGGGTCTCGCAATGTCGAAGCCTGTCCATATAGCGGCCGTGAAGACGTCACCCCTGGCTTCATCGTGGACCGGAAAATCAAGAGGTCTATGGACGATTACTCCACCTTTTCCAAGAAACAAGGGACCATCCAAACGCGCTCTTCTCTTGAGATCATCCAGCATCGCAGCATAGGTTCGAGGCCTCTAGCAACTTTGACGATCCAGACGGTTTATGCGACCTTGTCGAGATACGCTACATATATTCAAGGCTTCAAACGAGATCCACTGTCTCTAGCACGACGTGTTATAGCGAATGCCTGGCGGTCAAACTGGGCAATGTTTGGAAAATTGAGCTGGTGGGTCCTTGGATTGTTCGTTGGCTACCGGCGACGGCCGACTGATCAGCAAGACTGGGACTGGGCGAAGTACGATGGTGAAAGTATTGCTAACAGGTGTTGTCTTCTGGACGTCGATGAGCGGCCCATCAAAGATCCACCCCTGCCAGCAGCTGAAATTGATCCCCCTTTTGCTGGTGGCAAGATCGAGGAGCAAGAAAACACAGCACGGACACCGTCTACACCACCTGCCGCTGCATCGAGCAAGCCGAAATCTGGTTGGGGCCGGTCACTGTACCTCTGGGGCAAATTTAGTGTGGCGATCATGCTCGCTGTGGGAGGTGCCATCATCAAAGGACCGGCTGAGATGTTGCGCGACGCTGACGATCGTAGAAAGTCTCAGAGAAACAGCCTTGCCGAGGACGTGGTAGCACATTGCGGTTCTGAGCGCGGCCAATCTGACAATGCATATCAAGTCACTGGAGATCCCAACCAAGTCTGGGATGGGCATCGCGGCGGTCCGCCGAGAATAAATGACACTCCAGATGTTGGTCGCAAAGCTCGAAGTTTCAGCTCCCCGCCAACTTCTTCACCAATTCATCTGCGCACAACCCGTGGTGCAAGTGAGCATACACCACACCGAGACCGATTGACGGAAGGCATATCATACTCATCTCGTGAACGGACCTCTGGGGAATACTTGGCTTGTTGGACCGAAGACACACTGAAACCCGCTAGAAGCAATCGCAAAGGACTAGACTCGGTCTTTCAAACACCAGACCATGTCAAGTCTGCATCTGCCCAATCTATCGGTGCAACGATCATGTACCCTAGCGGGGCTAGCATGAACCAGGAGCAGCAGGCGGATTTTGCTTCAGAGCAGCGTATGTGATGTGCAGGCTCCGAGAACGAAGGACATTATGCGCACCAAAGCCTTTTGCCTCCCATTACCTGACGACACTGACGGAGGGATTGGAAAGAGAAAGGAGCACCTACTTCTTGTGTATGATTAATGACTTGTATGAATTGCCCCATTGCATAGGGAACTCGCTTCACTGCTTTGCATCGATTTCGGGCCTGCGGACATGGTATCATTCGCTGCCAAATACAACATGCATACTGTGAAATGTG